TAATAATAATAATAATAATAATAATAATAATAATGTATGTATGTATGTATGTATGTATGTATGTATGTATGTATGTATGTATGTATGTATGTATGTATGTATTAGTTCATTCATTCGTTTGTTTGTTTGTTTGTTTGTTTGATTGATTGATTGATTGATTGATTGATTGATTGATTGATTGATTGATTGAGTGATTGATTGATTGATTTCTATTCCACGCATCTAGACAAAAGGTCTACTCTGGGCAGTTGATTAGTAATTAATCTTTAAGGTACCACAATGTTTTTAACCTTTGTGTTTTGTTTTTGTTTCGGTTTTTGTCTGCTATGCTTGCACAGACTAACATGGCTACTCCTTCAAAAACCTCTAGTGCTTTGGCATATATGCTGGCTCTCACATGAATTTAACTAAAAGCTAGGACTTTAAGTAATGAAAGTAAGGAATCCCTCAGGTGTCTTAATTGCTTTTGAGCTCACAAATCACAGTGCTATAGAATTAGAAAGGCCATCTAGTCCAATGCCCAGACAAAGCATAAAACCCAATACTAAAGCACTCCTGCAGATGGCCTTCCAAAAACCACTTAAAACTCTAACAAAGAAAATCCACTGATGTCTGAGGAGTCTGTTCCACTGCTAAACACTTCTTATTGTCAGGAATTTCTTCCCCAGTTTAGTCCAGATCTCCTTGCTTATACTCTGAGTCTGCTGGTTCACATTCTATCCACTTCCAGCCCAGAAAATAATCTTGTTCCATGCAATATCCTTTCAAATACTTAGATGAGGCTGCTTTATCACCCTTCAAGCCTCTCTTCTACAGGCTAAACATACCCAAATTCCTCCACAGTGCTTCATCAAGCTTCATTTCCAGAATTAAGTTCCTTTACAACCCCCAATAGTCACAGAACCACAGAATTGTTGGAAGGGGCCTGTAAGGCCATCAAGTCCAACCCCTGCTCAGTGCAGGAATGCAAATCAAAGGCTATCTGCTAGGTGCTTGCCAACATTTCTCTTGAAGGCCTCCAGCGCTGGAGTACTCACCACCTCTCAAGGTAATTTTTTCCATTGTTGTACTGCTCTAACTGTTAGGAAGTTTTTCCTGATATTCAACCGAAATGTGACTTCATATTACCCTCACCTGGATATGTTCCAGCTTCTCAAGATCTTTGTTAAACTAAAATGATGCCCTGAGCTACAGACAGTGTAGCAGGAAGTCTCAGGCAAAGATTAATACAGCAGTACTGTCACTTCCCTTGATCTGGACACTGTATTTCTGTCAATGCAACTGAGAATTGCATTAGCCTTCACATGACATTGTGGTTTCATTTTTAGCTTGTCACATGACAGATACTTTTCACAAGTTACAATAAAGCCAACCTACTCTACATCTGTATATCTGATTCTTTCCTGCCTACATGTGGAAGGTTGAATTTCCCCCCTTTGGGTAGATGGTGGGAAGAGTGACAACTCAGTGGAAGAACCTCTGCTTTGCCTCCAAAAGTCTCCAGGTTCAAGCCCTGG